GTGAGAAAGTCTTGAAACTTTATGAAAGTCGTCGTGGCCTAAAGGATAAGACGTCCGGTGCATTTGTATCGAGCGATGCACTGGTGTTCGAATCTCGCTGGCGGATATCAATTTTTCTAATGAAATACGTACTCAACAAATGTTCACGATTGACTTCCACGGTGAAGGAATAACATCGTGCAATAAAAATCAAACCCGCAAAATCATAATTTGCGTAATTACTGGTGGTAGGACCTCTTGTTAGTCCGCACGGGTAGGTACCACCGCCCCGCCTATTTCTGCCGTGAAGCAGTAATGCGTTTCGGTTTGAAGGGTGGGGCAGCCGTTCAAGGTGTATGGCGCATTTACGTTTTAGATGTCTATGGGCTTCAGTAACCACTTAACACCAGGTGGGCTGTGAGCTCGTCCACATATCTAAGCAATAAAAAAAATAAAAATAAAAAATAAAAATTCTTCCTCGATGGATTGTTATTATATAATAGTTATTTTTTATAGAAACGTTTAATACAATGCAAATTTTTTAGTAAAATATGTTAAGCTCCCATTCAACTTAAAATGACAAACAATTTAAAAATAACAACCGACATCAAAGAAATTAAAAATGTAATAACGCTTTCGTTGTATCTCGTAGCACCTGCTACGGCGTAGAGCCCTCGCTACGAAACGTTTCAACCTACAATTTTACATTCTTATGTCCACCTTAATGCTTTGCAATGGAAACTTTATCCTGTAGATATATAAGGATTTCATTTTCATTTCAAATTGCTTAAATATAATTATAATTTTAATTGATAATAATTATTATTACAAGTAAATTTTCAAACGGCAATAGAGCACTCTATGTAATTCAGTGTGGATTTTTTGTATGCAATATTTTGATAAGCACAACATACGACATATGGCTTAGTGGCCCTTGGTTTGAGAAAAAGCAGCTCCTTCTTTGATCCAGCCTTTTTTATCCCATTTGACTTATGTTTACTTATTGCTACTTTTTTTTAAATCCGAGGAAATTATAAAAGACTATAACCGTTTAGTTTTTTGTTATACTTTTCAAAAGAAAATATGCAACGTAAAATTTGCTCATGAGTGCTCACGATCTGCCAGAAATGTTAACGTTATAAACGGGATGAAAAATAATTCCTTGTAACTAATTCATTATTCACGGAAATTATTGAAAGAAATTGACTTTCTTGTATTTTACTCACAATACAATAAAATTACACTTTACAATCAACTAACTGATACTGAAATATGTTTTTTTGCTCTAAGCAGTCCATCGTCACCTGAGTCCATATTATAACGACTTCCGCCACAGACTGAGATATGAGATTAAAGTATCTATTGTCTGGCATAACGGCTATCTCTTTCTTCAATTATTAACAACACATTGATTGTACTGTTGCAGAAGTAGGCTGGTTGATGGTACATGATCCATACTCAGTTAACAACACACCCACTCTACCAGAGTTTAAAATAATTTGAGGTCAAAAGGCCTGATATGACACTATCTATCTGACTGATCACCCTCTGACTAATTATTATTTATTTTAAATTACATTTATACGTATCTCGAAACAATTTAATTTTGTCCTCATTTAAAATTCCATGCTTTAGGAATCTTAAAAATGACTCAAATAGCCAGCAGGTCTACAAATTCTCGAAATTAATTACGACGTCAATATAACTAACCTAATAGTTGAATAAGAGCAGTATAAGTATGCAATCTTTTTCGCAAAATTTAACAATCATTACTAAATCGAGGCAAAATTTATTCGGTAATGCAATAATAAAAATTCAACAAATCCACACGAATAAAATTTTAACAATCGCTAGTACAGTCACGCTTCTGCAAGTAACGGAAATCACTGGCCAAGATAAAATGGAACAGCAATAACAATTCTTATAAGTTAGAAAAAGAGAAAAATATTTCTGTAGATGTGGCTCCAAAAGACATCGTATAACTCGAGTAAAAGGTTTCCACTTTTATTTTTACGGTAATTCGTACTTATATGTCGACTACTTATTGGGAGGGGGAACTTCATGGAAAGCGTATTCTTGCGAGCCACTTTCTGCCTCTACCTTGCAAACGATTTGACGCCTCAAATATGAGAGACCCTATTTCAAAGATTCGATTTTCGGTCGATTTCACTTGAATTGCCGAACGAACGGGGGAGTTGAAAGTTTTAATTTTGAGCAATCATTTTTCACAGTAAGATAAAGGAATTTGGATTGATTTTTCTTTCAACACTCTGACTTGATATTTTACCATAAAATCATGTATTCAGTCAATTTTGAGACATAGTAGCACCAACTACTGTTATTGCTTAAACACTGAAATAAACCATAATTATCCTTGCTTAACACACATAATAGGGACGATAAATAATAATATTCCATTAAAAAAGTCATATTTTTTCACTACGCGAATTAATTTCATTGTACAGCTTTAATAAAAAAAAGAATATATTACGTATTATAATTGAATAATAAAAATTGGTACTAATCATCAGAGCTCACAATTAGGTTGTTACCAGCCCATCCTTTTACCTATTAAGCCACACAGATAATTTATAATGGACTACGATGTCAATTAAGATAATTGAAATAGTGTTGTCATGTCAGAAAATAAAATACCATTTATGAACTTCTAGACTCTTGTGCTCGATCATGGGTGGCATGGACTGCATGGTACAAACTACCACCAAGTGCTTCTTTTGCTAGATCTGACAATCTGGCTGGTGTTCTGCCCACGGCGCGCTTACCCTATATGCGACCCGTAATTATGAGCTTCTCTAAGTACGTCGCAGGTTTTTTTTATTTTTTTTATTGCCCTTGTAGGCAGACGAGCATACGGCCCACCTGATGGTGAGTGGTTACCGTCGCCCATGGACTTCAGCAATGCCAGGGGCAGAGCCAAGCCGCTGCCTACCGCTTAATACTCTCCATAAGCCTCGTTTGAAGAAGGACATGTCATAGCGCTCGGGAAACACCGTGAAAGGGAGCTCATTCCATAGCCGGATGGTACGTGGCAAAAAAAAATCTCTGGAAACGCACTATGGATCGCGATCCTCAGTAGTGAGGGAACGATATAGAAGAAGAAGACTCTTGTAGGCGACAAGAGAACAGTATTGTATTTTGTCAAGTAGCGAAAAGGCCAAAATACAGTCTAGTCTAGTTCGAGACTAATTTCTCTACATGACACCATCGCATCATTATTCATGGAGGCGTTCAATTTACGCATATCTTCACTCCGATCGTGTTCGTTGCAGCTCATTTGAATAATATATTAAAACGAAGAGCCACCAACTACATATACAGCTCCACAGCATTCCAATGTTGGCCTTTATTATTACAGTTTAATGATTATTTCACAAACTTACGTTCGCGTGTAACGATATTTTGATAACGGTTACTTTGGGAAAGTTAAACCTTTTAAATGATAGCTTACGACACAAAATATAATAATATCAGAATTTCTCTGTCGATACCAAAGACAGGGATGGTAGCAGATGCAAGACGCAATTTTGTGTCATGGCATTAACCTTGGCACTACATTTTACAATTGTAAACTTAAAAAGAAAAGAAACTTTCAAATAAATTGTCTTCATTCCCGTTGAGACTTCAAATAGAAGTCTTAAAGATGCAAGAGTCTTTCAAACTAATAAGCATAATAGCATCGCGCCAGCCAGCTGTAATCCATAAAGTAAGCATTTTACATTCAAGCGCTTGAGAACTATGACCTCGTGTTATATAAGAGACCTTTGTAAACTCTTAAAACCTTGATACAATTCATTGGATGTCAAAATTTTAAAATGTTAAATCCCAAACAAAAAAATTCTAGCGGAGCTTTTGAATAACTTAATTAGATACAGAAAAAGCTTAGAAGCTGTGAGGAAACAAATGAACCTAATATTCTAATATACAATAATTTGTATGTATTTATGTATATTTAATACAAAAAATTTACACTCTTTTTATTGTCTGTGAAGGCAGATAAGCATACGTTATCTTACGATAAGTTACACCTTACCATCGTTCTCCGCTAGCAATAATTCACATCCAAACCGCTCAGTACTCACCTCAAACCTAGTTTGAATAAGCACATGTCGAAACTCTCAAGAAACATCAAAAAGGAGAGTTTATTCTAATGCTAGGTTTTTCAACTGGAAAAACTATTAACTTTGTATATGGAACTTTGAAAGTTTCACTTAAATTTTACAATTGAAAGTTTTTATGTTCGATTTTGGCAAACGCCAACCAGCTGTCCCGGTCCTGCGATGTAGAGTCAACCAATAAATAACGAAATCAACGACTGAAAACATTACAGAACGTATATTTGTTAGGAACCCGCGTCAAATGCAAGAAATAATACTAAATTACTTAATGCACCGACCTATAAAAGATTTAAATCGCACACATCGACAAGGCCACGCCCCTGTACTAGCGGAGCCTTTGTTCTCACAGCACACATGCGCAACAAGCTTGTACCGACGCGCGTGTGTGCGTTAAGGGGGCATGAAATACGGTTCCTATTATTCGTGCTTTCTTTTTTATTTATCGCAGCCTCCCGTATTGGCCATTCAATTGATATTATTGCTGTAAATATCGTTCGCTTTGAAGTTTTTTGACATCATGGAAAACTTAGCTGATGATGTACCGTTGAGATATTCGCCTTTGTATCACGGAATAAAAGATTTCCATCAAATCCGCAGCTATACCCGAAGCTCCCGAGGGAACTTTGCTAAAAGCTTCCCCAGAATCCTTCAAAAAAGCTCCAATAAAGATAATTACGATCATTATTAAAAGTACTATTTGACTGGAATCAATTTTTGCCACCCTCCATTATTGGCGACAATAGACGTACGATTTCTCGACTGCGGACTCTTAAGTAGTGAAGGAACGAAAGGAGCGAAACGAGGCTGTGGTGCGAGCGAGATAGCTGTTACAGTCTAAACTATATATAGGGCTAGTCCTGCAGTATTACAGCACTCGGCCGTCAGCCTCCGAGGCGCGCGGATGTTTTCCCTTACAACAATGTCATAGTACATTCCTATTACGATATCTATATTTTTCCCCTTCTCTATACGTATCATCTATTTCTAATGTAATTTTCGGTGCTCAATTAAAGTAAAGATAAATAAATATATTTTATATACAGAGTTTTTGTTATGGAAAAGTCATTTAGTAGAGCTTAGGGTATATATTAGTAGGAAGTGATAGAAGCGGCAACATGAACTTCATAGGTAAGTCATTCCTAAGTATTGCCTCCTATCGCCTAAGTCCTTCTTTTACAGATTTCTCATAATTTTACTTGAACTGACTTGAAGATTTATGCAAACAAAGTTTTTCCCATTGCGACTTTCAAAGTTCATCCTTTCACTCTTTATTATATAATACAGACGAGTTTGGTCCTATGCGATGGTAAAAGCTTATTGCCCCCGTGCACACTTGCAACGCTAGAAGCAGATCTAAGCCGGCGTCAAATATTACTAATTCCAGGAAATTTATTTATTAGTTCATCGTTTGTTTTTCGCTGGAGTTGGGATTTACTGTGAAAACTGCATATGAAAGATAAATAGCAGACTTCATGGAAATTAAATTGAAAAAAAACTTACAATGAAAGACTGTACAGTCTCAGACGTATCGTTGTGATGGCGATTACTTGGTTTCTTAATCAGCGAAAATACCGTCGAGTATATTAAACAGGTTTGTTAATAAAATAGAAAATAGCTTTTCAAAGAGTACAGCGCCTACTCTCATTTTAAAACAATTTGGTGTTTCGTTTTTCATATCCAATGTAAATTGGTATTCCGAGTTTTTCCAAATCAAAATAACAGCTGCAATTAATTTTAAATCGAAAATAAATCATAAGGTTCCGCCATTTTATATGAAACTTTTTTTTTATTGCTTAGATGGATGGACGAGCTTACAGCCCACCTGGTGTTAAGTGGTTACTGAAGCCCATAGACATCCACAACGTAAATGCGCCACCCAACTTGAGAATAAGTTCTAAGGTCTCAGTATAGTTACAACGGCTGCCCCACCCTTCAAACCGAAACTATATCACTAAAGGTATAATTAACTGAATAAATCATAAGTAAATATTTTACTTCTCGAAGAAAATAATATCCTGTTAAATTGATCAGTCGGAACAACATACCATGAGATCCAAGTTCGGGTCTCGGTTACAGTAAGTTCCTTTGTTGTATGCGTGACATCAATACACGTTAGATGATGGTTGAACCCTTGGAAATAAATTTAATACAACTTGAACGCCACTGGTTAATTGCCCCAACAATTTCATGGTCATTTCACATATTAGTAAAAAAACTATTGAGTTAAAACGTAAGATTAGTATGCGGTAAAGCCCAGGGGTGTTGCTGAGCGTTTGACCGACTTCCTCAAGGTCAACTGAGCTGGCAGCGGGCCAAGCGGGCCAGCCTCCGAGCACCAGATCACTGCCGCAGATAATTCTCTTTTGTTTAGTCAAACTATGACGATGAAAAAATTTGCAGAATGCAAATTAATTACACGAATAAAATGGTCGGTAGCGAATCAAGCTCGCCTGGATTTGCTTTTCTCTGCAGTTGCTGCTTTTCTTGCAGTCCTCTTTATTTTAACAGGCAAGTAGTTGTGAAGGAAACGGGGGTATTTTGGAATTTCAAATGTCAGACTAACTCTGACAGTCTGAAAACTCAGGAAGTCAAATTGTTTGACTACATTTCACTTTTATCTGGGCTTAGTAAGACTTTTCATAGGTAGTGAGCTTTAAAATTAAGAAACTTAACTATTGAGGTTCATAAACGCACACAGTAAGGTATCTTTCAAATGTTCACCTTTAAAAACCCCTCAGTATTATTTATGGTATGAATTATAATAAACTTAATAGATATTGGTAAAGCCCATTTTTCTATTACTATTTTGCAGTAAACAGCTGAATAAAATCACAGCTCACCTCGTGCTATGCGGCTACCTGACCCATTATCAAACCGGGTGTCATCGGTCCCCCTAGCCCTGTTCCAAGTCTCATATATACAAGCAAAACAAAAATTTGATCCATTAAAAATAACACAAAAAGCGTATCGCTAAAACCTCACATTCCAACACAGAACGTTTCACAAAATGCGAAGCTTTTAAAGCTCTCACACGGTTTTCTTCGCGACACATCCAACTGTAAGCTCCCATAGATTTTCCGAGAAAAAGGACAAACACACACATAGTATGTATGTACGTATACTCATTTAATCCCCAACGAAGTCCGGCTAAAAGCTTTGTCTTGTTCACTCGACCAAAGCACACACTGTTAAATAGAGCTTTTGACGCCATAAAAATCTATAGATGTGAATTATTTCAACGAGAAGTTCTCTGAAGAGACATTGAGTTTTTTATTGTTAGGTGAATAAAGATGGGATTTTCTAGGACGGAAAAAATATTAGAAATGGAACATTAGATTGAATAGTTACAATTTAGAGTACTAAGAGAGAGAACTCAGTAAGTAGATATTTATATATATATATATTTTTTATTGCTTAGATGGGTGGACGAGCTGACAGCCCACCTGGTGTTAAGTGGTTACTGGAGCCCATAGACATCTACAACGTAAATGCGCCACCCACCTTGAGATATAAGTTCTAAGGTCTCAAGTATAGTTACAACGGCTGCTCCGCCCTTCAAACCGAAACGCATTACTGCTTCACGGCAGAAATAGGCAAGGCGGTGGTACCCACCCGCGCGGACTCACAAGAGGTCCTACCACCAGTAAAAATATATATCAGTAACATAACAATATGTTTGTTTCTAGGCTTGTTCATGAATACTAATTCCAGAAATAGTCACAGTTGAAAAATGTATGTAAAACGAAGCTTAATCTGGATGTTGTATATTAGATGTACCAATATTTTTTGCAGCTTCAATGTTCGCAATTCAGTCCATTACTAACGTACTTATTACTTGCGTACTATACTAAGCAGTAGGCAGTAGCAAGTAGGCAGCGGCTTGGCTCTGCTCCCGGCATTGCTGAAGTCCATGGGCGACGGTAACCAGCTACCATCAGGTGGGCCTTACGCTCATCCACCTACAAAGGCAATAAAAAAATATATAAAAAAACCTGATATTCATCAGCTTGTTTTTATTAAGTACTTTTTTAAATTCGCGACGTGAACTTAAAAGAGCCGGCGGGCGTGCTCCGCGTGACACTCTGTTTTTATTCGAGTGACATTACGTGCTGTTCAAAAATTTTTTTTTCATCTCTGGAATTTCCAGCTACAGCATCTATATTGTTCCAGCTAGGGCTGGCAAACTGCTCAAAATTGGACAATAATCACTGGCAGTTGAATATTACTAAATTTTTTTATAACCTTACTTACTTAGCAAAAAAATTTTTAAAGGTAGAAAAACATCACCCTGTATCGCATTGGTCTGAATTCTAGAGTAGTATAACCCTATGTCTTCCCAGTCATGACGGGAAGCGATGATGCGAGAACCGGAGCTGTAGCATAGTTGCTAGCTCTAGTTAAAATTATTTAAAAGAAGTCGATTCTTAAAGAGGGTATATTAAAAAAAAACATTTTTTTAATTGATACTAGCTGACCCGGCAGACTTTGTAGTGCCTCAATCGATAAATAAAAGACCTAAACTTTTGTATAAAATAAACTTAAAACAAACAAAAGTAATCCGTCCGACGGGGGACACGTCAAAGGAAAAACAAAATTGTTAATTTTATTTAACTTCGAGCATTTTCATATTTATCAACCTTTTAAACCTTCTCTGAACTTCCACAAATAATTCAAGACCAAAATTAGCCAAATCGGTCCAGCCATTCTCGAGTTTTAGCGAGACTAACGAACAGCAATTCATCTTTATATATAAGTATATTGATTGATATAAATTCGTAAATAGCTACTACCATATATTATATTATACATATAATCGACTGACAGAGTTAAAAAAAGTTTTCCAAAAATATAATTTAATATAGATTATTTTAATTGGGATTCCAGTTTCTAATTGATAATATTTTAAAATTTTGAATTAACTTAAATAAATTTAAGGATTTCTGTTTTTTTATTCAGTCATCCAATTTGACTTTTAATGTCATCTGTGGCTTACTGTTTTGTCAGATGAAATGAAATTGGGTTGGTCATTCCACTACTGTATAAAAAATGAACCAAGAAACGCACTCTTATTAATATTTAAATTTATCATTGAAGAGACGGACAGCGAACGACAGGGACATATTCGCTCGACCCGAATACAATCAAAGCAGTGTGATGTACTTAATCCGAATTTACTGCAAACCAATTCAAATCTTAGTCCCATTAAATAAAACGCAAAATGCAATCATTAAATGCAATCGTAAAGCGGTAATTAAAGTGTATCTGCATATACTTTATGCTCTATTTCATTTGCATTTTTATGTGCTATTGCAGAGCTTGTTATCTACATTTAATCATGCATTCAGAACGGCCTTAATTTAAATATTTTTAAATAAATGTCTCTGACTCTGGTCTTAGTCCTGGTCCACTCCGGTAGAGTCGTGATTTACACCTATTCACTTGTGGTAAGATTTATTATGGACCCGCTCCAGTAGGTACCACCATCCTGCTGCAAAGCAGTGTAGACTTCCAGTTTGCAGGAGGGGGCTTTTATATTGATAATGTTAAGTGGTATTGGCATTAATCAATGTCCAAGAAAGCTTTATTGATTATTTTGCACAACGATTTAACTATGTATTATTATGTTTCTTCTTCTGGAGAGAACTTATCTCCAATTGTACAGAAGCAAATCCCTGTATTTATGATTTGTTTAAAATACTTTATTAGTACAATGAACAGACAAATTGGATATACCGAAAAAAAATGTCCCAAATCTTGAGAGAAGAAAATTAATATTAGCACGGATCAACATTTTTTGCTTTTTTTAAATTTTGTATTATTTATTGACCGAGGGAACGTAAAATAAAACAGTTAAATTCCCATATTTTCATATAACAGAAGTGAGATTCCGAGCTCATGTGGCAAGAGGTGGCGCCACCCAGACAGGACACATTTGACTCGGGCTTCTTCGAATTACTTCCACTAGTTTACAATCACTAATAATAGCATCAATTAATAATCAACCATCTTCGTTATAGTGTGAGTAGGGCCATTACTGCCAAGCAACTGAATCTTCCACATAGTGTATTAAACCGAGCAGAAACATGTAGGAAACAAAAGAAAGCTTAAAATACAACGAACCCCGCAGA